GGAGTTTCTTCATTTTCAAAAGTTATATTTTCCCGATATCGGAATTTTTGAATACCGTACAATAGATGCCCACATGTAGAATCTCTTGTTTTTTCTAGAATGTTCCTGGATTTTCTGATTACAGATTGTTAGGGTTTCTGAAATTCAGATATTAAAAAAACCCACACACAGCCCTACTTCTAAGCCTTTGGTTTCAGATCACCTTGAAAAATTAGGGAAGTGATTACAATACCTGTATACTTATAGAGAACGCTTCACCTTTTTTTCAGGCAAAACCTTTGGAGGGTACAACAATTCGGGGGTACAAAGGGGTACAAAATGATTTAGGGGTACAGAACTCACAGTTTGGGGGTACAAAACTGAGCTTTTTTCAGTATTTTGTACCCCCGAATTGCGGATTTTTTACCCCTTAAATTGCTAGAATGTTCTGAAATTTTCTGGAATTTACTGGAATTTTCTAGAATGTTCTGGAATTTTCGGGAACTTTCTAGAATTTCCTGGATCTTTAATTTATTTTATTTCAACGAAGGGGAGAAAAATCTTTCTGGAAGTTTTTGAAATTTTCTAGAATGTTCTGGAACTTCCTGGGATTTTCTGGAATTTTCTAGAATGTTCTGGAATTTTCTGGGATTTTCTGGAATTTTCTAGAATGTTCTGGAATTTTCTGGAATTTTCTGGAATTTTATAGAATTTTCTGGAATTTTCTGGAATTTTCTAGAATGTTCTGGAACTTTCTGGAATTTTCTGGAATTTACTGGAATTTTCTAGAATGTTCTGGAATTTTCTGGAACTTTCTAGAATTTCCTGGATCTTTCTGGAAGTTTTTGAAATTTTCTAGAATTTTCTGGAACTTCCTGGGATTTTCTGGAATTTTCTAGAATGTTCTGGAATTTTCTGGGATTTTCTGGAATTTTCTAGAATGTTCTGGAATTTTCTGGAATTTTCTAGAATGTTCTGGGATTTTCTGTATAACTTGAGAACCTTGTATTCAAAAGGAAACTACTATGATCCATTTCCAGTAGTCCACAGGATCGAAATTCAAGTGATATACAAAAGAAACGAAATTTTCAAAATTTCCCAGTTCTGAAGATCTGTGCTCAATTTTATGCAGGCAACACATAGATAGGCCAAAAAACCGTTTTGCATAATTTCGTGAAGTTTTATTGAGTTTGAGCATAGTTTTGAAATTTTCGATTCTCAACACTGTAGCTTCCCTATAAGCTAGAAGGCCCAGGACACCATAGACTGATACTATGACCTAGTAAATTCCAGAAAATTCTAGAAATTTCCAGAACATTCTAGAAAATTCCAGAAAATTCCAGAACATTCTATAAAATTCCAGTAAATTCCAGAAAATTTCAGAACATTCTAGAAAATTCCAGAAAACTCTGAAAAATCTCGAGACGGACACACAGACACACACACACAGAAAAGTTTCCTTAGTAAGAAGTAGATATTTTTCAAATTCAGAATCGAATTGCGTTTTCATCTACACAAATCTGACAAACTTGAACATTGCATATTTCCCTACAAATTGTTCTACAGTATGCGCTTCGATTGAAATTGGTTACAAATATAATGTAACAGAGGAACAATTGGAGATTACGTTCAAAAATCTGAAAAAATTGATTGGAAGCGTTGAAATCAAAGAGACAGATTATACAAGAGGCAAATTCTTGGCAGGATTGGAGTCTTTTCAATCTCGTGAGTTTTCTTTGAATTTTTGAAACTTTTAGGTTTTTCAGAATTTCATACATTTTGGTATTTTTTGTTTTTCTGAATTTCCTGTATCATCAGAATCTCCGCTTTCGAAGAACATCAAAATTCGAGAGTTCAAAAAATTCAAAGTTTTGAATGACAAAATCTGGAGAAATTCAAAAATTCGGGAACACCATGAAATTCCAAATTTTAAAGAAATTTCTAAAATCAACTTTTTAAAACAAAAGTTTCAGATTACGGTTCAATGAGATTCGTCAACAACCGTTTTCTGACAGAATTGGATCTTTCAAATCTAACTTCAGTCACCGGTGACAGAATTGAAATTCTCGGAAACTCTGAAATGACACAACTGAAAATGCCGAATTTGAAGGTACAGTATTTTTTTTCCAATTTTTCAGATTTTCAATCAAAATTCAAAAAATTAAATTTTCAGAATCTCACAAATCCGCCATCTGAATATCTACCAAAAACGAACGTCAAAGTGGTCATAGCATTTTTATCAAAAAATTACTGTATCAGGTTTGATGAAATGGAGCATTTTTTGAGCACCGACGGAAATTTTAATTCCATTTACGCGAATTACTGTACACCAATTCTGGAAGATAGAATCTGTACAAAACCAGAAGTTAATTGTACTCGATTTTTTGGAGATTTGATGATTGGACCAAATTTTACGGATATTGAGAGTTTGAAAAGTTTAAAATCCATATTTGGACGGCTTTTAATTATTGGAACTAATTTGGAAAATTTAAATTTATTGGAAAATTTGAATTTCATTGCTCCACTTGGATGGGAGAGTGATACATCAATAGCATTGAAATATGGTAATTATTGACTAATTGAGATTAATTTTAAAAAATTTCTGATATTCTTAAGTTCTAAAAACCTGAAAATCGTAATTTTTCAGAAAATTCGGAATTTCAAAAAACGTGCAAGTTAAGCCAATTGAGCCAAATTTTCCGAATTTCAGGGACTTTTTTGGATTTTTCAGGATTTTCGGGGCGCTTTTTTTCAAATTCAAAATTTCAGAAAATCAAAAAAGTTGGGCTCTTCAAATTGTGAACAACACAAAACTCCAGGACTTCCACTTGCCGAATCTAAAAGTTTTTTAATCGAAAAAATTTCTATAAATTCAGCCAAAACATTTTAGCGAATTCGATCGGATTCTGCGACGCCAGTGATTATGAAAAACAACAGTGAAGAGGTTTTATTCGATTTAAAAAGTTGTGAAAAATTGAAAAACTCTGTGCTCAATGTGCTCATTCAAGTGGATGGAGCTTATTGTTGTGAGTTAAAGATGGGGGGACATGAAAAAAAAAATGTTCCCGAAGTTCTGTTTAAATATGCCCGTCCAGGACTTGAACTTGTCGGGGCGAGTATGGAAGGTGCGGCGCCGCTACCGACTGAGCCACGCGGGCGAAAGTGAGGCGGGGCCCGATTGTTGTCGATTCCACGTGGCTATTCACCGACTCAACAACTTTAAGATATTCAGAGGACCTCTAGGCCCAGCCCACTGTGCTTACTCCTCAGAAATCTTCCTATTTCCCACTTTATTCTCTTTATTCTCCTTTGTTTATTAGTCTTTTATTGCTTTCTCATATTCAAATTCCCGCCATTTTTCTCTCCCTTCGTGCAAGCGCGCCCTATCGTTGAGGTCTCGCCACGAAGGGGTTAAAGGCGCACACACACTCGAAACGGGCTTACTGGTTTATTTTTACACAGATTAACTGAGTCTTACGCAGATTAACTGAGTCTTACTCTGTCTAATTCTAGTCTAGTAGTTAGTGCTGTTCCGTGACGTTTCCCTTCAGTTTGCAAGTCCGTCAACCTCGTTACTCATCATTATTCCTACTATTCCAATACTATATGACCTCCGGCGATCCCCGACCGCCTTACCGGCCTTATTGGACTATCGGAAACCGCTAATGGTGTGAGTTGATATAGATTTCCTTCTGAATAGACTAACGGCCAGTTCTGTGACCTGTTTTATGAGTGTTTTCCTTTCAGTGCTCTCATCGTGACCACTAGGAAGCATGCTCTATTGGGAACTTTGTCTATAAGAAGCGATAAGCTTGTCACCGGTAGGAGAAGACATAACTAGTTCCCCTGTTACCGATGCACTTTCCCTATTTTACAAGACAGCACGCACAAGGAGGTAGCTTGTTTCTCTGGAGCCGTCACGGGGAATCCAACACTCCCCAAGGTGACCCCTCTACACCGATGGTAAACATAAGGGTGAGGACGACCGCGGTACGCAGAGTGACATTAAGCGTTGAACACCGTTACGGTAAAATGCGTATCCTGGCTCCAAAAATCCTCCGAAAAATCTCCTGTCCCCCCACCTTTAAAAACTTTTGGCGCGAAGAGTTCTAAATTCAAATTTTCAGATGTAATCGAAGAAAATGTGAAGACGAGAAATGCGAATAACGAGAAGAATCAAATTATAATGTACGCAATTATTGCTGGAGGTGTGGTGGCTCTAATAATTTTGATCCTATTGATTTTTTGTTGTTGTTGTAAGAAACGATGAATGGTTTTTACGTACTGTGTAAAATGATATTTTTAATGAAAATTACCGTAAAATCTGTATTAGAAGGGCCCCTTAAATAGAAGGGCCCTCCGAGAAGGGCTTGGGAAAATAGAAGGCCCCCTGTAATTGAAGGTCTCTCGTAATAAAAGGGCCCCGTGTAAAGAAGGACTACCTTCACAGTGTCTCTTGAAATTGAAAACATTCCGTACGTTTTCAGTATAAAATGTTCCGGGAATTTCACAATTTCACAGAAATCACTATTTTTTGATAAAAGACTTGCTCAAATTTGGTGAAATTGGCAGATTTTCATGAATTGCACATGAACAATGCGGAACTTCGGAGTGTCGTTGCTGACATTGTTTTCTCGTTTTTTTTTCATTTTGAAGTGGTGGCCTAATCATTGCAAGTTGGGTTTTCTAGGCCATGTTCGGTTTTCTGGGCCATCACGCTAAAATGACCTAGAATTTGTGTGATATTTACATGGTGAGTTTCCTAGTTCGTTTTGAAGAAGTGGCCTAGAAAACCGGACTTGCAAAAGTTAGGCCTCCACTTCAAAATGACCCAGAAAACGCACCAGGTGCATTTCAAGCCATTTCTAGGCCACTTTAACGTGGTGACCTAGAATACCAAACTTGCAAAAGTTAGGCCACCACTTCAAAATGAATACGTGACAAAAACTTCTCAGAGATCATTTTGTTTTTCGGAACTATGAAAATCGAAAAATTTCGAAAACCGGAAATTAATCTATCTTCAACAAAGTTTCCCATGATTTTTGAGTGATTCCATTTTCCAATTTCCCGTTTTCAGACTTATTGGATTTTTCAATTTCCGTTATTTGATCGAATTCGTTTATCCAGAATTTCTCTCACGCCTTCAGGAATTTTTTAGAGTTCCCATGATCCGTCTGATATTTTTCATTCTGTTCTAGTCCTATTTTTTTAAAAGAAAATGTATGAAAGTTTGATTTTCCTAATATTTTTATTCATTTTCTGTTATTTCGCATCCGCTCAAAATGGAGTTGTGATTGAGCAAGAATTTGTTAAAAAAGGCTGTAGTGAGTTTCGGAATTTTGAAAAAAGACAATTTTTAAAAAATATGGGATTATGAGATTTTCAAAAGATTAATTAAAAATAAAATGAAAAGTCTAATGCATGCTTACAGATTCTACTTGTATTTATCGAGAAGATCGAATTTCATCGAAAACGATCTCAAATTTTCCGAAAAATTGCTCCACTTTGTGCGGATATTTCGTTATCGATGATTTGACTGATTTGTCTGAAAAGCAATTAATTTCGCTTTTTGAAAATGCAAAAATCCTAATTGGTGGATTAACAATTTTTGACACAAATTACACAACTGGAAGTTTTCTGTCTGGATTGGAAGCGATTGATTGTAGTGAGTTGATTATATTTTTCTTAAAATATGAGTGAAAAATGAGAAAAGAGAGGTATATACTTCTTTAAATTCAAAAGATCAAATCAAATGTTCAGTGTACGATTCGGGTGTGGAGTGGGTTTCAAACATGAAAATGACAGAATTGGGATTAACAAATTTGAAAAACATCTCATGCAACGATTTTACAATTTCGGACAACTCGAAAATGACAAAATTGAATATGCCAAAATTTGAGGTAATTTTTTTGTTGAAATTTTCGAATATTCGAAAATTGAGAGTTGGTTTTTTTAAGTTGGAATCTGAGTTTTTCCAGAATTATCAAGGCACTAATAACCTGGTAATTAGCCGTTTGGCATCTGATTTTTGCATGTCTGGAGATGAGATCAAAGGATTTTTGACCACAACTACAGTACCCGCAACCGTTGAAATTTCTGGAAAATTATGTGATTTTGTGAAAAATGACAAAAGTTGTACAAAAGACGTTTCCGATGGATGCACGGATTTTTATGGAGGTTTGACGATTGGACCAAATTTTTCGGACTTGGAAAAGTTGAAATCGCTGGAAACATTCATTGGGACACTTTTCTTAAATGCAACCAACTTCATTGACTTGTCGATTTTCGAAAAATTGCACTATATTATTCAAATTGATCAGAAAAAGTCTGCACTCAAAGTGGAAGGCAACGAAATGTTGAACAGTGCACTTTTTCCAAGTTTGAAGGTAGTTGTTTAAAAGTGGGATATTTTTTCTCGAAATTTTGAATATTATTCAAAATAGTTACTTGAAAACAATATTAGTTTTTTTTTTTTGAAAAATTCCAGATAAATTTGAAAAAGAAACTCTCTGAATTCTGGAACTTACTGTTAAATTCTGATAATATAAAACCAGAATCCCAAAAGTTAGTTATTTTTCCGAAATGCGAAACTTTTTTTAAAACAATTATTTTTAAAATTTCAACATTTAATTTACAGCAAATTTCTAGCATTAAAATTCATAACTTTCAGCGAATTTTTTCCACTTCTCCTTTGGAATCTGTGATTTTCAAAAATAACCATGAAAACCTGAAAAACGACCCAATGACATGTTATAAAATCAGGAATTCAGTTATGCCGTCAAGTCTATGGGTTCCAGATTTTGATGATATTTCTTGTGGTGAGTTGAAAAACTCAAAAATTTAAGAACGTCTCAAAAATTCAAGCATTTATCCGAATTTCCGAAATCAACATTCTACAGAACTATAATTTTTGTTTTCAGAAAAATTTAAAAATTTAAAAACTTTTCAAAATATTTTTCTTAAATTTTCAACTTTCAATTACTTTCTTTCCAGAAGACATGAAAGTTGTGAATACGCCAGCACCAGAAACTCCTGGAGTCACACAAGTTTTGGGGAATCCTACTGTAACACCACCGCCAGGACACTCAGAAACTTGTACAGATAATTCTGGAGGAAACATTTGGAATTCAAAACCAATTTTGCTGATTTCGTTATTTTCATGCATTTTTTGAGTGAATAATGTTGATATGTGATACTTTATGAATTCCTATTTATTTTGAAAAAATTATTAAAAATCAAAATTGCTGTTTTATTCACTTTTTCTTTTTACAGCAACAGTATAGAAGAATAATGAAAATTATCAAAATAGCCACGCCCACACCACCAAAAACAATCAATTGTTCCATTTGTCTCTGGATATCCTTCTTCAAATATAAGCCTCTATTCCAGCAGTGAGCCATTTCAAATAGCTCAAAAATAATTCTCACGTGACCTCCAATTCCAAAAAATTATGCGAACAGTTCCATAATTGATTTTATCAGCTATTTCGAACTCTTCCACGTGTCCCCTTAATCCACATATCCCTCCCCCTCTCTCCCCATAAATACACCCCACCCTTCACTAGAATCAGTCTAAATCACTCCAAACAGGGTTCGACTATAAAAAAATGTTCTTCGCTATGAGTGAGTTTGGAAATATTCCAGGTTTTTTTAAAAAGTCGCTGAAATTTTCAGAGTACTTCGTAGCCTTGCTTTTGATGGCAATCGCTTCAAACGCTCAATATGGTTTGTACCAAACGCCAGGTCCTCTTGCCGATCAACAACGACTCCAATCAAAGATCAACGGTGAGTTGGCAAAATTGGTGTTAAAAAAATAGCAAAAAAATTTCAGAACAGTCCGCGTACATCAACTCCAATGACTACTACACTGACTACGACTCCCCGGACCATCATCGTTTCCGTCGTGCTGCCACTACCAGTAAGTTGTCCTTTACCTTTCCTTGCCCTATGCTTTCCCTGTTTTCGCCCTATTCTTACCCATCCTTTGTGACTTCTTTATAGACCTACCTGCTATTCATTGGGTCCCTATCTATAGCCTCCCTGTCCGTAGCCCTTTTCCGGCCGATTGCTCTATGCTTTAAAGAAATCAGCCTAAACAGGACCCGGCTTGGATCATTCTCATTTTTTCAATTTAAAGGCACATAGGTAACCGAAATTTGAAAATTTTGAAAATAGGTCATGATTGTACTCATTTTGAAGGTCTTAACATAACAGATTTTTCGCTACCCTTCTTTCCCCATCTTCTTAATAGACCTGCTATTGTCGATTCAAAAAGATCGCACATTTGAACACGCAAAAAAACAAAAAAAAAACAAGGGGCGGAGAGAATCCGTCCTTTTTTGCAAAACCCACGCACAGTTTCTCGCTAATTTTTATGCCACGGTTTTTTGATATTTTTTCACCCAATTTCTGCCGAATTGAAGGAAATTCGTCCAATTTCTAGCGTCCAATACTCCGTGGTTTTCCAAAAAAGNGANNAGCTTCTCCCCCCATTTTTTTTTTTTTTTTNCGTNTTCAAATNATCGATNTTTTNNAATCGACAAATAAGCCCATCACTGGGCCTATATCTATAGCCTCCCTGACCGATGCTCTTGTTTTTTTTAACCAAAGCTTGTTCCAGACGATACAGTATCTTTGGCCGTGGAACGAATGCAAATGATGGCTCGTCTCACCAACGCCATCTCTCTTCAAAAACAACTCATCGGCGGAGCTGTCGATTCAGATAAGTTGATTTCTGAACTTCTCCACTTTGGTTCTGTCACTGCTTCTCAAATCCATGCTCTCAAGTTTGCTGATGTTAGCTCGGCTCTAGAACTTCTTGAAAGTCTTCCATCTAAGCTCAAGGATGAAGACAGCATCAGGGAAATTGAACAGTTATTCGCCAAAATCGATAAGGTACTGAAGACAGTAGACGGCATCAAGGATGTGACGGTTTGGCCAGAGAAAAACACTTTCAAGACTGTTATCGACAATTTGGCTAATGGCAAAGCAACAGAATTTCCTTTGATTCCTGATTTGGCACAAAGTATGGCAAGTTGGTATGCTTATTATAAGGATTCAACCTCCGCTAACGCAGAAGCAAGTTTTATCTCTCAACTCGGAAAATATTCGTCCGAAATACTGACAGCTGTAGAAAAGTTGAAAAGTGAAACTCCAACACTTTCTCTATTTCCCGATGGCAAAAGTGCAACCGAAATGGTTCAGTTCCTTGATAAAGTGGTGAATGGGATTGCAGCAGTTCAAGCAGAAACGTTAGTGTTACCCGCAAAAGAGTTTAAACCGCTGGAAAACCACTTAAAAGAAATAAACCACGCGGTAACGAATCTCACGTCAGTACGACAAAACGTTGAACTTGCTAGAAATCTGTTCGTTTCTCGAGCAAACGGTGAAAAGTCATCCAGTTACACTCTAGCGCTACCGGAAGGATATAGAGACATCATTCGACTGATGGGACACTTCAACGATCCATGGTTTCTACAAACTGTAAAAGATAAACGTCTTTCGAAATCTCTCGAATCTCTCAAATCTCTTGAAGCTGCGAATGTCATTGAAAATATTCTTGGTAGCAAAGGAAGTTCGGATCATAATGCCGCTGCGATGTCAGACATTTTCAAAATCGTTTCTGATTTTGAAACAACTTTTGCAACGTTTGATTTAAGCGACATTGAGCCATTGAAGAAGTGTTTAAAAATACCTGGTAAAGGTTATGAAGATGCGGATGTGAAGACGCTGATTCAAAAGGCAACAGCAATAGATCAAAAATTGGAGGAGCTTCGAGTCGTTGTGGAAAGTTTGCAAACGGATGTGAACAATGCAACTTTTGTCAGCAACCTTCAGGAGTTCGTTCGAATCGGTCAGATAGTCAAGAAAAACGATCCTGCATCTGAAAAGAAAGCATTAGAAGAATTTGGAAAATTGACTATTAAGGAAGATACAGCAGAATCTGTGCAAGACATGACCGCGGGAAACCCAGTAAAAGTTTCTTCTTTCAAATCTCTTGCTAAAGATACTCAGAAATATCTCGGTGCCTTCGAAGAACTTTTGAAGCAAGCCCCAGAACATGTAAATGTTCTCAACTGCTTCATAAAAGTAACAAATACAAAGCAAACAGTTGCAGCGATTACTGCATCCAAAGGAGTTCGAAACTCAGCGAATGCTTACAAGAACAAGGTGGACAACGCTCTAAAGGTTTTGAAGTCAGTGGAGGACACGAAGAAAGATCTGAAAACCCTGGAGACGTCGATCAAGGGAATCAAAGACTTCAGGAGTGATGAGTCCGATCTTTTATCAGTCTCGAAAATCACACACAACTTTCTAACACGATCGGATCTTCTGCCAACGCAATCGGAGGAATGAAAAAAGCAATTGATGCCAAGGAGAACATTGATGCCATGAAAGCTGATTTTAGTATCATGGCCGCCGAGGCAAAAAGCGCCAACAGTCTTTCTGCTGATGATAAGAAGAATTTGGAAGAGCTGGCAGGAACTTCACTGGATAAGATGTTCACTGGATTGAATTCATGGAAATCTGAGGTGAAGGGTTTGAATTTCACAAATCTCAGCAGCTATGGACAGGTTTTCTCGAAAGTCAAGAAGGTTCCCGCTATCAATTTGGACGTTGCCAAAACTCGGAATTCGTTGAAGAAGTTGATTGACGAAGTGACGGATTCTACGAAGAAAGATAAGCTGAAGAAGGTTAAGGTTAAGGATGGACTGGATTCGTTGGACGGAATGGGAATGCAGTTCGCGAGTTACGCCAAGAGTTTCGATGGAACTACAAGTGCTTTGGGATTACTGGAAGAGTTCTTTTCCAGCTTCACCGAGTCCATTTCTGAGACTTCTCAGCAGTTCATCCCCGCGAGCAACACCAATGATCAGAAGTCGGAAAAAGACTCGTGAGTAGAATTCGAAAATTTAAAAATTCAGATTCTCTCCAAAATTTCAAAATTCAGAAAAATCAAAATTCAAAATATCAGAAATTTAAAACTTCGAAAATTAAAAATTCGAAAATCCAGAATTTCAGAAATTAAGAAAATCAGAAAATCATAGTTAAAATTTTCAAAAATTCAAAAATTCAAAATTCGATTATTCTAAAATTTAGAAAAGAAAAAATTTAGAAAAAATCTGAAATTGAGAAACTGAACTCAAAAATGTAAGTTTTGGAAATCGCGAAATTCAAAAGTCCAAAAATTCAAAAATTCACAAAACTAAAAATTCTACGATTTCAAAATACGAAAATCATATTTTGAAAAATCGAAAAAATCGAAAAAATTTTAAAAAATTCTGAACATCTGAAATTCAAAAAATCGGATATTCGGGGATTCCAATATTCAGAAAATAGCGGATTCTCAGAAATCCAGAAATTCGAAATTCAAAAATCAAAATGCAAAATTCAAAAAATTTAGAACTTGAGAAATAAAAAGATTTTTTTTCAGGACCCAAAAAAAAGTGGCAATAATTTGTGGATCTGTTGTCGGCGTTGTTTTCCTCGGGACAATTTGCTTTGTATTATATGTGTGTTATTGTTATGAACTACCGGAGAACCGGCGACAGAAAGAAAAGACAGTAAATGTCACGGTCAAGCAGTTTGTACCATCGGGAGAATTGGAGACCATTCTGATGACTAATGAGAAGGCGTCGAACTACTTGGGCTCCTTAAGACAGATACTGGCAAAGCAAGCGGGATTGGACATGGTTTCGTTTAAGGCGAAGGATAAGAAAACAATCGCCAAGTTTTATGAAAATGTCAAGAAAACTTTCGTGGCATGGGGTACGAAGATTTTCAATGCTGCCGATGAGGATTTGGCTGAGAACAAGAAGACAAAGGATGTAAATGATGTATCGCCATTTGTGCAGCAACATGAGAATGAAACTCAGTGAGTTTTTTTGCTTTATTTTTCAAAAAATCCAAGCGATTTGTTTCATCCAAGAGCATTATAATTTTGATCGACTTCACATTTTTCACAAATCTAGCCAAAAATCACTGTTCTAGCTTAATTTTGAAGTGAGTTAATATGCGAGAGTGCAGAGAAACGAGAGTGTCTGCGTCTCTCGCCTCCTAACTTCGAATGACTGTATCACAGCTCAAAATGTTCCGATTTGAGTGATATTCAGTGCATTTGAAGAAGAAAACCGGAAAAATAGAAAAATAGAAAGAAATTCAGACATTTGATCGAGCTGGTGTTAGAAACTCGAGTCACTGTGCCGACGGTGGTCGATGAGAAGAGACCAGCTAGTAAACTTATCACATTTGTAACGGATTTCTGTCATGCAAATTATATCCCGTTCAAAAACAACTTCCGCTTGATTCTTTGTCAAGGACCACTGAAGGAAAAGATCGTAAAAGGGTGAGTTTTGGAAAGTTTACAAATTCCAATAAAATTAAGTTATTTAGAATAAAGAAACTCTCGACGATCGTCAAATTCTGGTTCATGGTTTATGAACACAACGCGAGTGCAATCTTAATGGCCTGTAAACTGATAGAAGAAGGTACAGTTTTGATTTACTGATCTCTGCGCCATGATCAGCTATCTTTGTTCTCAATGAAGCTAATTGCCTGATTTTCGAAGAGTGTCTAGATCTAGACCGTACTATCAAATTTCAATTTGATTGAAACACTGAGAACAAAGTTAGCCGACATGCGACGCGACCGCAACACATATGTCCAAAATTTCGTTAAATGTATCTCGTCTTCCAGTGAACCAATTGTACTCAAAATTTCAGGAGAGCAAAAATGTGATAAGTACTACCCGGAAAACTTGAATGACGTTGTGGTGCATGGACCGTTCACAATCAAATGTATTAAAATTGCAACTGAAGATGAGGTCGTCCATCGAACATTTGAATTGATTGTTGAGTGGGTTTTTTCAATTGAAATTTTTGATTCGAGATTTTTTTGTATTTTGATATTTATATGTTCAGAGGCCAGCCACCTCGATTCCTATCGCACTTCAACTACGTAGGTTGGCCAGATAAGAGCGTTCCAGCAAACGCTACAGCACTGGTCAAATACTGGGAAGCCATGAGATGCAACCCTCAAGGTGGCATTGTGCACTGCTCAGCTAGTATCGGATGATCTGGAACTATCGCATGTGGGTTATTCAAAAAATCCGAAATAGAGAAAATCAGAAAATCAGAAATTCTGTAATTTCAAAAACCCAAAATTTCGAAAATTCGGAATTTCAGAAGTTCGTCGAAAAAAATCTGAAATTCAGACAATCGGAAAATTTAAAAAATAGGATATCTGAATCTCGAAATTTTTTCTGAAAATCAATTTTTCAGAAATTCTAAATTTAAAAGTTTCGAAATTCCAAAATTTCAAATTTCGCAAGGTCAGGAATTCGTTTGAAAAATATTTCCAAAATTCCAAGTCTTCCGAATTCGAAATTCCGAAACTCGTAAACACAGAAATTTAGAATTTCAAAAATCCAGATATCCGAATTCCAAAATTCCGAAATTTAAAATTCAGAAAATTTCGTTAATGGGAAAATTTGGTAGATCGAAAATTCAAAAAGTGAGAATCCTAAAATTATAATTCCAGACGTCGAAACGCTGTATCAGGAGACTATGCTGATAACGGAAAAGTTGCCCACCAACTCGTGTTCAGCAATTTGAGACAAAGCAGAGCTCGTGTCGTACAAACAGTTGACCAGTTCCTATTTTCTCACTATGCCGTCATCGAGCTCATCGTTGATGTAAGATTTCATTTATAATTAATTAACTAATTAAACTAGTTGAACTTAGAGAGAGCTACGAGCTAAATGCTAAGCTGGAGTTGGAACTTTGACTATGGAAAAATGTGCTCTCCTTGAAATTTCTAATTAGAAGAATATATAACTGACTGAGAGTTAATTAATAGAATATGAAAGTTAGATTTGGAAACTCTGAAATTAAAACAAATGCAGAAATCGAAACACGAGATGTTTTCAAAAAGATCAGTTTTAATTGGCAAATTGGAAGTCTAAATTGAAAAATCTGAAATCTGAAATCTGAAATCTGAAATCTGAAATCTGAAATCTGAAATCTAAATTCTGAAATCTTAAATCTGAAATCTAAATTCTGAAATCTTAAATCTGAAATCTTAAATCTGAAATCTGAAATCCAGTTATTCAGAAGTTCAGAAATTTTGAATTCAGAATTTTGAATTCAACAATTTTGAATTTCAACAAAATCCAGAAATCAAAATATTCAGAAATTCAGAAATCCAAAAACTAAAAAATTCGACTTTTCTTTTAAATTAAAAAAACCATTTTCTATCTTAAAATTTTGATTTGTTTTTTCCAGATCAACCTTTTGCACTTTTGGGAAGTATGATTCAAGTGCAAAATTGCCCTTCATCTACCTATAATTGGAAATCTCAAAATGATCAAGTTGTCTTATGTAGCCTAGTACACCACTGCCTAAAATTTTAAAAGTTTTTCGAAATTTTCAAAGTTTTTCGAAAGTTTTCGAAAATTTGCCACAATAATTACCAGTGTACACAGCCCACATAATTTACATTTTTCTCGAAATTTCATAATGTTTTTCTTCAACTTTTTTGATCTCTCATTTTATCCTATTTTTTTGAGAATGTTTTTCATCGATGGTCGCTTTTTTCCACCACCAGACCACGGCCAGACAAATTCTCAAAATTGTAATCCACCGGTTTGTGATCCCTCAAAACTACCAATAGTAGAGCTCTCCTATTTCTCATGGCCCATTATTTTACTCATACTAGTTTCAACTACAAACTTTATTGTTCAGAATCTTGCCATTGTTTTTGTGTACTCTAAAAAAAAGTTTCAAAAAGTTAGTGGGTTTTAAAATGGAATTTATTGAAAAACGGGAAAAACGAAAAAATTGAATTCAAAACTTTCAGGGCTCATTTTTCACAATGCTCATAATCCTCGGAGTTTCAGTTGTTGCTAGAACCACCATAATTTTCATAACGACTTTGATTTCGGCTTATACAAAACATGGCACCCAATTAAACAAATTAGCACCGCTAATTGCTCTCCACGTGGATTACTGTAGCAATTATTGCTCAGTGGTGTTGATATTTTTCATGGCACTAAATCGATGTCTATTTGTCGTGGCCGAAAAATGGAACGGGTGGTTTTTCGATGGGAAACGAGTGGTTTTTCCGATATCGATAAGCTTGGTTTTGGGATTTTTGAGCTCGGAAATTATAATTTATACGAATAAAATTATACGAGTTTATACAACGGCATCGGGTTTTATTGATTACGGTATGGAAGATGGATACAGACAGGTAGGAAAAAACGGAAATTCAGGAATCCAAAAATTCAAAAATGAAAATCTGAAAATTCAAAATTTCCATTTTTTATATTTTTCAGATTATAAACCGTATATTCTATTTATTCCCGTTTGCTGCTGTTCTCTGTTATGTAATTCTGTTCTGGTATTTACGCCGAAAAAATCGAAAAAATTCAATTTTTGAAAATCCCCGGAATCCAAAAAATCGAGGCGACCAAAAAGTGGTTGTCCAGTTATTATTTACCTCTCTTTTTTATACGGTATTTTTTTTCTAATTCTGAAAATTTCCAGAAAATTGAAATTTTAGATAATGTCAATTCTAGTCGAGCTTATGGAATTTGTATACTTTTCTCCGAAAGTTGATCAAATTTTAATTTCCTTGCTGAATATTTTCAATTATCTTCCGGAAATTTCTTTGCCATTTTTATTAGTTTGTGAGAATTTAAGACAATGGAAAAGGGTAAATGTGCTGAACATACCCAGCCAAAGTTTGAATCAAAATTCTGGAAGGGGTAATTGAACAATTATCATTGATTATTATCGATTTTTTTCTCATTGAAATAAAATTCTGAAATTTTTTATAGTTGATTGAAAAAAATTGCCAAGGTGTTAATTGAAATTATTTATCAAATTAAAATTCCAAAAAAAATAAGATTTAAAAATAATTAAAAATAAATATTGCAAAACAAAATATCCTCTGGAAACACCAATTTCACATCTTGTCTCCCATTTTTGAAGCATGGAAATCCAGTTCTCAAAACAACAAAATTTTGTCGAGTAATCAAAAGAGAAATGCTGTTGAATGGATCATTTCGTTTTGAGAATTGCCAGAATTTCCCGTAATATCCGAATTTTTCGAAGTGTGAGAAAAATTCTCGGTAGAGAGGGCTGAAAAAAAGTTATTTTTGATTTTGGCAATTTTTTGAATTCTCGAATTTCTGAAATTTTGATAATTCTGATTCGCCGAATTTCTCGAATTTCCGGAAGTTTGAATACTTTCAGTTTTTTTTATTTTCAGACTTTCTGATTTTCTATTTTTGAAATTTTCGAACTCCCTATCTGACAAATTTCAGAGTTCCTGAATTTCTGAATTTCTGAATTCTTGAATTCCTGAATTTTGAATTTCCGAACTTATGAATTCGTCATGTTGTGAATTCCTGAATTTCTGGATTTAAGAATTCATGATGTTCTGAATTTCTGAATTTTGGAAATTCTGAATTTCTGAATTTCCAAATTTCTGAATTCCCAAAACTTCTGAATTTCGGTTCTCCGAAATTCTAAATTTCTGAATACTTACATATTCCAACGTCCATAGTCATATTGTACAACATTAAAATTGTAAGAGTCCAGATTTTCAAAAATTTCTTTGACAAAATTCTTTTTCGTCCAAACCGTGAGTTGCTCAAAATCCTCTCGAATTTCATCGTCCACCCATTTCTGAAAAATTCTATGTTCAAAAATATAATTGTGAAAATCTTACTCTAACAAATTCCATTAGCACTTTAGAGCTCAATGTGTCCGCTCGAAATAGTGATTTCCGATTGCTCATTCTTAAAAATTGCTCATCGCTCATCACAATATTTTCTGGTACAAAAAAGGAAACAGCATTTAAAATCTGAAAATTCAAATTAAAAAAAATTATCCGAAAAAATCAATAAAGTTGGACCAACCGATGGATAGTCAAGTTGTTCGAAATTTAAAACTTCCCAGCATTGTAAAATAAATTCTTCCAGAGCAATTTCTGAATTCAATCGACTCAGCCAGAACTCAACGGATTCAGATTTCCAAAAGTTCATTCTCAGATATTTCAGTTTATCTAGTTTCTCGATTTCTAATCCTTCCGGATTCTGAAAAATCAATTTTTTCCAAAAAAAAGAAATTCCAAAAAAATCTCTAACCGTTTTCCAGTCAACTTCCAGCGTTTCCACATTCGTTTCAGCCTTTTTCATAACTTTTTTGACAATTTTCTCATATTCTTTTTGAGAATTTGAATTCGAAATTTGAAATCTTGAAGAATAACAATAATCGGGTTCCAGAACAGATTTGCTAGTCACAAAGCAGTGATCACTATTTTTGGGTTGGTAAAATCTCCACGAACGGATGAAATTTGTTGTGGTGTGCATTTGAATGGTGGTGTCTTTCTGGAAAAACAAAACTTTTGAAAGTTTAGAAAAACCTAAATTGTTTAAAAATTTGAATGTTAAAACACATATATCTAAAAAAATATGAACTTTTGAAAATTTGAAATGACTTCAAATTTCAAAAATTCAGAAACTCGGAAATTCAGAAATTGGGAACTTCAGAGAGTCGAAGATTCTGAAATTCCGAAATTCTAAAAACTTTAAAAAGCCGAAACTAGAGAATTTTCTGAAATAAGGCTTCCATTTCGGTCGGTCGAAAATGCCGACCGCCGACCGACCACCGGCCCAGCCGTCCGAGCTAACCGGTCGGTCGATGCGCCGACCGAATTCGTGCCTTTGCTCATCGAAATAACTTTTTTTGCGTACGAAGTTTTTTATTTTACGACAAACGAGGCATTTAGTGACTAGTTTATCGTGAAATACAATGCTGCGTATGCAAACACGTTGACGCCCAAATGCACGAAAACGGTCGGCGGCGCGCCGACCGATTGGTCAGCTCGGTCGGCGGTCGATCGGTCGGCTAAATTTCCCGACCGGATGGAAGCCTTATTCTGAAAATGTGAATTTCGAATTTCCAAAAAAATGTCACCATAACAATTTTGTGCACTGCCGCTTGTTCTCTGTAATTCTGCTCATAATCCGATTTACACAAAGCCGCCAAATTTCTGGGTCTCATAATTATTCCATTATTTTTTGGTGAAACTCCTTCAGTAACACATAAAATAGTATTTTTCACAATTTGATTGTCTTTTTTTGAGCATAACGATAATTGACATCTGTATAAAAATTAAATATGGATAACTAAATGTTAGTTACCTGGTCCAATAATTCAAAAATCCAATCACATACATTTTACAATCGTCTGGTAAAAATTCCCATTTTTCAAAACCTCCAATGAACTCTAAAAGTTCCAGTTTTTGCTGAAAATGATAATACATGTTTTTTCTACTTTTATGGAAAAAATCATACCGTTTTAGTTGCTTTTTCTGACTTTTTCTGAATCATCATATTTTCAAATAAATCTTCATCGAAAAAATCGGAATTGAAAAATAGGCTATCCTCGTTTTCAGACATTTTTTGTAATCAGGGATTATTTTGGTAAATCCAGAGATCAATAATTCGAAACTTCGAAAATCTGAAAAATTAAAGTTTGAAGTGACAGAAAACCGAAAAATTAAAAAATTTGATGTAAGTTCAATGAATAGAAAATTACAAAAAACCCAAAATTAAAAATCGGAAACTCAGAAATTCGGAAAAAAAATTCAAACAAAACCCAAAAAGGGAAAAGTGTGTAAATAATAGAGAAAAGTGAGGGCGATGAACTTATCAAAAACTTTTTTTCGGGCAATGCAAACGAAAAAATAATGAAAAATGATAAGAAGATAAGAATGAATCATGGGAAATGTTTCAAAAGGTTGTGTAAATTCATCAGAAGATCAATATACAAAACTTTAAAAAAAAAATAATAATTTTCATTTTCTCGATTCTAGTTCCAGCACCTGGGCTCAAGTACCCGGGCTCCCGGGCACCAGCACCCAGGCTCCAATGCCCGGGCTGCATTACCCGGGCTTCAGTGCCAGGGCTCCAGCACTCGGGCTCCAGCACCAGGGCTCTAGCACCCGGGCTCCAGCACCCAGGCTCCAGTGCCCGGGCTGCAGTACCCGGGCTTCAGTACCCGAGATAAAGTACCCATAAAAGTTCAAAAATTGATTCAAAATCTCTAAAAAAAGATAAATTTTAAATGTTCATTTTTTCGATACTAGTTTGATTTTCAAAATGCCAAGAATTCCCAAATCCACAATTAAATTGACGAATTCTAAGAAAGTTTACATGATTTCATTTTGTTTTAGTTTTAAACCGAACATTTTCAGTTTTTGGACACTGTTTTTGGATCAAAGAAAGTATAAAAGCTGGTTCAAACAAACCAAAAATTCTTCTCCAATTCCTCGAAACTTGAAAAAAAAAGAATTCTTCCAATTTTCATGAAATTTTCTTCACAAATTTCCCAAATTGAAAGTCTCTGAATAATTCCCCGAAATCTCACATTGGTTTATATGTTCATCAGTGTTTTTACTCGGAATAATATTAATATTATGGAAATTTTTCTTTCTGATAAAGTACAAAATTCACCCCATTGGCAATTATCAATGTGTTTAGGGTTTTTTGCTTTTTCAATTGTGTCATTTTCAAAAAGAACAGAGAAAATTTTATTTTCAAGAAAAAAAAATAAATCAAATGAACAAGTATAAAATGATTATTAAAAATGCTCCAATTCCATTTCGATTTTCAGATTTCTTTTTTTGGTTTTGAACAATGTAGTCATGGTTGCTGTCGAGATCTTCTGCAAAAAAAATGTTTGAAAAATTCTGTAAATCCCAAAATTAGGGTTGTTGCTGGCCGCCAGTGCCAGAGCTATGGGCTTTTCAATTTCACGTGATTTGCATTAAAAGCCAGCAAATTTTTAAGCAGGCAATATTTGCCTCTTTTATATTTAAACCGGCGTCAAACGCCGCTTTATTTTTGAGAATAGAATTTGCCTTTTGATTCACTAATATCCCCTCACTGTAACTTCAATCTTAATTATCTCAGTTCTTATGAACGATAGCAGAAAACTGTCAACTGATAAAATGCTCCAAATGTCAAGAAAACATTTTGGCAGTTGACAGTTTTGTCATATGTTTCACAAGAAGTCAGATAATTGAGGTTAAAGGGAGAGAATGGGAATTTTGAAATGTTAGAACGAATTTGGTATTTGAGAAGTTACCACTAGTCTTCCATTAATAGTTATTGTGATTATGTCTGGATCAAGGTTTAGTTCAAAAGTATTTGTTTAGGCTTTTAGATTTTAAAGTTGTAAACTTCGATTTTTGGAACTTCAGAATTCAGGTTTTGAAAAACTCCGAAGTTTAGTGATCTTGACATTTAAATTTTAAAAATTTAGGAATCAAAACATTTTTGATCGTTCAAAAATGTATAGCATGACAGTACAGAAACTCCAACAATAGTTTTTGAACGATGAAAATACTGAAATTTCCAGAAAATTCAAAAATCCTTGAATCCTGAAAATTCGAAGTTCGGAAATGTTCAGGAAAGTGTAGAGTTTTATGAAATCCATAAATTTTCAAAATCACACAAACCATAGATTTTTTAAAATTCAGAAATTCAGAAATTTCGGAAAACATTTTTCAAAAGCTTCAGACACCAGATTTTCAGAATTTCAAACGGAATTCCAGAATTAATAAAATATTTCGAAGGACTAAAAATATCAATTTCATTCCATTTGACTGTTTCGGATCGGTCATCTGTTGTTTTTTTCAATCTTTTCTCTATGAAGTATTTTCTATTGAAAAAATCATCTTTTGAAAAACCCGGCGTTTAATGCCTGTGAAAACTTTTGCTGGCGATTCACGCCGCTTTAGAAACTGGCACTGGCGGCCAGTGCAAAAATTAAAAGCGGCGTGTGGCGACAGAAAACGCCGTTTTGGCCAGCCTACCCAAAATATCTGAAAAATTTCGGAAAACCTTTCAACAAAATTTAGAAGGGCTTAATCGGAAAATTCTAAAACAAAACAAAACATTTTGAAGTCCTCGAAATTCTTAAGTTTTAAAGGTTCAAAAAATTCTAAAAGTTCAAAAAATTCTAAAAGTTCTAAAAATTCTAAATAACTTGGCTATATAAGCCAGATAAATTATTTTAAAGACTTTAAATTCGATTTTTATCGAAATTTCTGAAATTCAAATTTACCACAACTGAAACCATCAAACTTCGGTGCCCAATCTGATAATCCAAGTGATTTTCTGATCTCATAGCAATAAGTGGAATTAAGTGTAAAAATTGGGTTAACATTCTCGAATTCCATAGTATATGAAGAATCCGATTTGACTCTTTTCAACTTTGGAAATGTTACATTCATTAAGTTCGGGATGTTTTCGATTACCACCGCTGGTTTGTCTGAAAATTTTTATTTTCTTTGACAGTTTTTCCATCTGGGTGGGTGAAGAAGCGGGCTACCCGCTACCCGTCTGGACGGCTCCCACCCGCGGCCCCGCAGGGGCTCCCGCAATCATGTACGTGTGAATTTTGAATCGCCCTCTAAATGGAAACCCTATTCTGTAAAACGGTTTTCAGTGTTCAAAAAATAAAGCTTACGCTCCAATTGTGCCACATATTTCAGATTTTCCAGAAAACTGAAATCCGTGATATTCGTCCCAGAAATAGTGATTCCTCCGAAAATCGCCTCCACTGATTTCATATTTTCTAAATCACAATTCGTTGTGATTTTGACGTCTCCAAGGATCCAAATACAATTTTTTGAGAGTTTAGTGCAAATCGTGTCCATTTTACAATAACTATCCGCATAAATTTGATCTACTCCGGCTGTTGGAATTTCCAAAAAATTGTACATTTCTAGGGGAGAAATGCAAAAAGAGTTAGAGTTATCGGCGATTCCTACATACACTTCTTTGTTTGGTTTTGTCGGATTTTTCATTTTCTGAAAATATGAGATTTCACTTTCGAAAAGTTGAATTTCTGAATTTCCGATATTATAAATTGATTTGTTCCCTCCTTACCTTAATATCTGGCATATTGAGAATTTTAAGTTTTTCGTTAACTTTTACAGAAAATCCATCACAATTAACTTCTGTTAAACTGCCCAATCCAAGTTCTGTCATTTCATAATTCAACAAAATTGAAACTTCAGAATCATCAAAACATTCCACAGCTTCCAATCCTTCCAAAAATTTCAAATTGGCGTAATTTGTACTAATTATGTTCAAAATTCCAATTATTGATTTTACATTTTGAAACAGAAAAATTAATTCTTGCTCTGATAAATCCGTTTTATCATTCAAAGAAATTTCAGCACAAATTTGATTACAAGATTTTGGAAAAAAATGCATATTGCTTTTTGTCAAATTGGTTGAATTGAAGGTGCATTTTGGGTCTGGAAATGCGAAATTTCGGAAAATATGTAAACTTTTAAAAAATTAAGAAATTCTTGCTCACCACAATTCTTTTCCTTGAAAAATTCCTGAATATCCTTAGCCTTTTTCGATGATGAAATCACAAAAATTACAGAGAATAGTATGAAAATTTCGTGAATTTTCATTTAAAAGGTGTTAAGTGAAGTTTTTTGAAAAATAAAAGTTTCTCGAAAATTTCAGCTGTGACATTTTCAGCAATTCTGGGGACAGGTGCAAACATAAAAGTTTTTATAATTACATGGTCACAAACCGCAGAAAAAAATAAATTGGATTTTCTTCTCAAATCCCGTCATGCAGAAGGACAAACTAGATTAGAAATTTTTTTTTGAAATATGAATATTTCGAAATCGAGATACCTAGGAGTTTATAAGTTCAGACGTACAAGAGGAAATATGAAAATTCAAAAACCTTGAAATTTCCAATTAAAAAAAACAGTATGAAACTTTATTTCCTGAAAAAACCTAAAAATCAAATTAGAAGCATGCCAAATATTATAAAAAATTCTCCGTTTTGGTTTTGATTCCCAGATTTCTTTTTCTGGTTTTGAACTACATGGTGCGCCCAAAGTATGGTAACACATTCAAAGTGTTGTAACTTCTCCGAAAATACTCGAATAGACTTGAAAACTTGAAAATAGTTTAATGAATACTTTCTAAAAATAAAATAATGAAAGTTGTTCGATGCGATTGCCCTTGATCTTCACAAGATTCGTTTATGTCCAAAACTTTTGATTCCTCATTTCCGGTACAAAAATTGTATTTTTTGTTATTCGAGACACATAAAAATGTATTGTTCATTCACTTTTTTCTGGTTCCATTTTTTTACTTCTCTGCAAAATAACAATGATGAAAAACAAATTATTGGCTTGTTAATATTCTCGGTGGTATTTTGATACTTGTCAAAGAAAGGTGCTGAACCTCGAGATTCCGTTGATTTTTTCAAAAATCGGCTTTGCCACCAGTGTTTTGATAAATTCATTTTTCAAACATCTCACTATTTTTCGAATAAAACAAATCGACAAAACTTATAAAAAATTGATGATTTTTTTTGCTATAATCGGAATTTTGTTCTCTGGATTGGAAGTTTTCACAAAGCCATTTGCTCATAATTTCAACAATTCTCTATTTTATTTCAGTTTGAATGATTCTGGAATTTCAGCAGATACAGTGCGTCCAATAATGATAAGACACCCCCCATTTTGGACCATAACTCGAGAACGAAAAAAGATATTGAAAAACTGCAAACGCCAATCGTCTTAAAATTGAAAAATACTCTAGGACAACAGTTATTAGTTTGGTCCGTGCGGTGAGACCCTCGGATGCTGTCCGTGTTGTTTCCAACGTTTTTTGATACATCATCATGCTGTAGCCCAGGTAGTAACTCAAGATGACAGTGCGCCTCAATACGAATTTTCCAGAAAACGTGACCATTTTTCTGAAAATCCGTTGACCATTTTTCTGAAAATCCTGTGTTGACTAACAAAAATCCTCGAAACTAGGTCAAATGTGATATTAATTTTTTTATAAGTTTAGTCGATTTGTTTTATTCGAAAAATAGTGAGATGTTTGAAAAATGAATTTATCAAAACACTGACGGCAAAGCCGATTTTTGAAAACTTCGACGGAATCTCGGGGTTCCGCATATTTCTTTGACAAGTATCAAAATACCACCGAAAATATTAACAAGCCAATAATTTGTTTTTCATCATTGTTATTTTACAGAGAAGAAAAAAAGTGAATGAGCAAAACATTAGTATGTGTCTCGAATAACAAAAAATACAATTTTTGTACCGGAAATGAGGAATCAAGAGTTTTGGATACTAGAGATTTCCAGAATTTCCAATTTTCCAAATTCTGATTTTCCACAAAAAAATTTATTTATCAATTTTTAAATTTCAACATTTATGAATTTCGTTGAATTTCTGATTTTCCGCCTATTTAGAATTTCTAGATTTTTTTTTCGAATTTTTTGAGAATTTTTTGAGAATTCAGTAACTCAGAAAACTCTGAAAAATTGAAATATTTAGACAGTTCCATGTCGCGGCAGCAGAAGCTCGACGTCAAGGCCAACAATACTAGAACCCAACTAGAATGACATAAATTGTCTCTTTTGCAACCTCCTCATCGAAACCAAGGATGCACAGGTGATTCGCGAACAATCCGTTACGGACGCTCCGCGTTCGCGCGCGGTTGATATAGGAACTGCATGCGGTCCGTACGCGAACCGTTTCCAGCATAACACAGCACATTATTGCAG